AGGCATCTTATCCTCTGTCTCAATACATGCAGAGTGCTATCTTCATAAAGTTAATGGCAGAAGGGAGGGGAGAGAGTGAGGAAGAATCTGTCCATCTCAGGATCATCCTTTTGTGCTTACTATCATGATATAAGAAGTGAGGGTAGGGTTTGGCAGGCTGGCAGTTGGCATACTGTCAGTTGTTGAAAATGGTCACCAGACCCATTCTTTGTATAGTCTGTGGCTGCCTTCATGGGACAGTGACAGTGCAATGTTTGCAGCAAAGACTTTGTGATCTACAAAACTGAATTACCTATTTATCTGGCCTCTTCAAAAAAATTCTGATTCTTGGCCTAGCTAAGACCTAACAGGCTTGTCTTTTTCCCAGGGAAGTTACTAATAAGGTTTTCCCATCCCACAGCGCTGGAGAGAACCTGGGGTTGGGGCCACAGACGCGGACTCTGATGAGTCTCCCAGCTCCTCAGACACTTCGGACGAGGAGGAAGGCCCAGACCGTGTCCAGTGCATGCCATCCTGAGGCCTCCCGCCTAGGAGGGGCGGGCTGGGGCTGCCAACCCAATCCTGCCTGGGCACCCCTTTCCTGTCCCAGGCCCTTGCATTCAACAGAAACGCACTTTGGACCTTTTGTTTAGATAAAAGAAAGGAATCCCAGGAAGACAGACCAGAGAGAACTGAACCAACAAAGAGCACCTAGGAGTGGGAGTTGAGCCCTGGAATGGGTTTTGTGGTGAGATGCAAAGGACTCAGCAGAAATTGCCTCTCCCTGAAGCCTTTTTTCTGGGGGAGAGGGAGCCTATTTTGTTCATTGGTTTAAGATAGGGAATGGGGCTTCTTTCTCTTTATAATCTCCCTTGTTTCTTTTGCAGGAGGTGTGGGGGGAATAACTGCTTTTCAGTACCAAGCGGCCAGAGTGGAGAGTAGTACTGTCACTCTCTCTTTGGTTTAGGTTTTTGACTTTTTTTTTTTTTCTTTTAAAAGTCTACGACAGTTTCATTGGTTCCCCCCCCACACACACCAGCAACCCATCCCAGGATCCTGTTTTTCTGAGAAGTCCTTAAGCCCCTAACCATCCCACACTCTTTTCTGTCCTCTCCACTTCGTTTTATGTACTTACCACAGTGTTTTGCACTTGACTATGTATCCTTCACTGTTCTCTTCATCCCATCAGCCCCTACCTAGGGCTGGTGAGAGATGGAGGAGGTGGAGGGGGGCAGGGTAGAGGAAGAATAGGAAGGATGTTACCTCTTATGTTATTTTTTTAAAAATTTATTTGGTGGCAGCAATCTCCCTGTCCCTATCACTGTTAAGAGGCCTAATTTTATATCTATAAATATATTAAAAGCAAGTCAAACTTGGATGTACAAGTAAAAATTATTGTCAAAGTTTAAATACCTATATATTCTCTATGAATGCAATAAAGGGACTTAAAGGAAGAAAGAGCAAGTGTACTAATCTAGAAGTCACACCTGGGGTCATCTTCCCCTTCACAAATGGCCAGTAGAGTGGGGCTTACACTTAGGTGTTAGGAGGCTCAAGGATGGACGAATCCTCACTTCTGCCTTTCACTGTCTTAGTGGAGGAATTGGGAAAAACAAGAAATTCAACTGTCTCAGATCTCCTACCTCTCCTTCAGTCTTGTGGGAAGCTCCCAGGATGGCTGTTACATCAGAGGCTGGCCTGTCTAAAGCACCTCAGGAAGGACACTGCCACAGCAGACTCTCCTGGTACCACGTGTACACACTCGTTGACTGGTAGCTGCTTGATTTTTTTAAAAAGCCATCCAGTTCTACACGCTAGTGCCCTTCCTAATGAAAGACTGAAAGGAAGAACTTCCTGGGGTTTACTTTGTGCTTATCAACCTCTTGATATCTTGAGATTTTAGACAGTCAATAACTTAAGGATTAATTCTGGTGGCTGGGGCTTGAACAGCTGTTTTTATTACTGTTCAGTGAGTTTGAAAGTCCCAGTTGAATTTTTGCTCTTAAATGCTCTTGCTGCTATTTCTTTGTCCCCAACTTCTACAAGATCCAATCAGGAATTTTACATCCTGGGAAAGTTGGATTCTACTAACACAGGCCCAGGAGGAAGAGGGGGAGAGCAAGAAGATGGTATTCCCAGACACTCCTTCCTCCTGTCCCTTTTCCTAGCAGCTCTCAGACCAGATGTTAGTTACTGCACTTCCATCCTGAGGTAGGGAATGTGTAGTGATTAAGCGGCCTGTGTCCCTCTGACTAGTAGGGTGATGAAGTAAGCTGAAAACCATGCACTCTGGAATTTGTTGTATTTTCTCAGTAAAGCTTTCCCCCCACCCTGACTGCTGCTCCGTGTGATATGTGATCCATTCATTTATGACAGACTTCTTTATTCCTTCCAATACAGGTGTTTGGCTCTGCCCCCTTCCTCTGATGATTTAACATTTATTTAAGAGTTCAGTCTGGGATCACCCTATTTTCAGTGCTCAGCCAAACAGAGACAGTTGTAAGTGAAATAGCCCCTATTTATCATACGTAGGAGACCAGGACTAAGTGGGGCACTGTTTAGGGTATTTTCTGAGTCTCTGTTATAGGCTATAATGATGTAGGGATAAGTACTCTTTCCTCCAAACTCCTGGTAGATCACAGAAATTCTAGAATTAGTCAGGTACAGTACAATCAGTCACCTTTATTCTGGGGTTAGAACAAGGCCGTGCACACTGCAGACAGAGGAGCATAGGAAGGGGCAGCCTCACAGCAGTACAGAGTTGGGGGGGCAGGTTAGTCTTTTTAGATTATTTTGCCTTACAGAAATACAAGACTGCTGAAAAGAACCCTGTCTCTCTCCTCCCATTTCTTCCATGAGGAAAACTCCTTATTCTGTTACTCCTGCTCTCACATAATACCCCAGTTGGAAGTACAGTTCTTCCTCATTCCTGCACCCCATTTATATGTATCTCTTAAGGGAGAAGCCAGACAGAGCTGGTGAAACTTGGGAAGGTCCTTTAAGGCAAAATAGTGGAGTTCTCCAGGTGTGTGCGTTAAGGCAGGTGTCCACAGCAGTGGCCAGAGGGGATGGGCACGACGGCTGGCCTAGGAGGCAAGGGTGCTTGCTTTTCTTTTTTCTTTCTTTCGTGTTTGAGACAGGGTCTCGCTACGTACTTCAGGCTGATCTTGAGCACTTTGTAGCCCAGGCTGGTCTCAGACTCCTATCAGTTTTCCTGCCTCAGCCTCACAAGTGCTGGGATTTCAGACACAAGCCACCATGCCCGGCCTCAAGGGTGCTTTCTAACCAGTCTGGCTTCCCTCTTCAACAGTGCTCCCCACCCCCAATCAAGTTTTATTCCCACAGCCTAGTAACTCCTAGCTTTAACTTTCTCTAGTCTCTGAGTCTGCATGTAAATTTAATGTTTGTTGTGGACTTTCTTTCTTTTCTTTTTTTTTTTGAAAGCTTTCTTTTCTGGAGTATGAAGCAGTTTGAGACTACCACTCCCTTCACTGTGGTATTCCCTCCCACCCCACTCTGGCCTAGACAGTGTTAATGCTAGACACCACAAAAACGGGCAGACATGGCAGTGCGGGTTTAATATACATATATGTAGAATATATATGTACACACAGTTAGCACGGTCAGGGTAGGGAAGGGTGTCTTGGGACAGGCAGGAGGCTGGGGTCACTCACTGTACTCTAGTGATTTGGCTAGGAGGCATCCACAAGCCTGAGAGAGGCCAGGGTATCAAGTGAGAAGGGTTAGCAAGTCCCCTCCTGGATTGAATTGGGATGGGGATCAATGCAAAGGAAAACACTGTAGTTAACGTACTTCTGGCTTGAGTGTAAGCAAAGAGAAGGTTGCCTCTAATATTCACATGGGAAACCTGTGGTGGAGGCAGTTTGAGGTTAAAATCTATGGATTTCATTTCTTCATCTCCCTAGGTTCAGGGTCAGTATATGCAACAGTCTGAGTAGGACTATAAAGGTGTGGAAAGGGGCCCCTCAGCCTGCGTCCCCGGTTCAGGCTCAGTGGTGCATATTCCCAGCATCGTCTGGGGTGGGGAGGGATCAAATGCTGCCTACTCCATAGGATTTGATCTTTGGGACCAGAAAAGGATCCAGTGCACTGCTTCCATTAGATCCCTGGCTCATACCTATCCTATGCCCATGAGAAGGGCATGAAAAGGGACCTGCTGGCACCTAGGTGCTCCGACCTGAGGGAGGAGCAGCAGGAAA